ATATTATATATATATATATTATTATATATATATTATTATTCATCCTGATTATATACACATAACATACATTACTATATTAGCTCTTGATCTTGATGCTATACTACTACTACTGACTGCTACTGCTATAGTGACTCTCTATAGGGAGTGAGTAAACAATGAATAAAACCCCGGTGCACCACCACATGCGCACAAACCTCGTCCTTCTCATTCAGCAAGCACGTAGACACGGTGAGCCCGGCCCCCAGGTGTTCGCTGTCGTCAACACTAGTTCCAACGGGGCGGTAGGGACCGCGCACCGTTCGCCCAGATCTGCCGGGGAAGTGCAGAAATTGTGGGTGGTGCCATGAATGGGGAGTGAGGGGGAGTCGAAAGATGGTGTTAGTTACGGTGGGTAGATTGCGATTCTTGTGTATTTTATTGCATGAATTTTCAGGCCTGCTGCTTACATAGCGAATTTAACGTTTTATCTTTTATGATCAATAATAAAATATATATATACTATACAACTATAATTAGTATATATACTAAATGTGTGTGTAATGACATAGTTACATTGATTACAGTAATGTAACCCGTCGTGTGCTACGTGGTGTGTGGAGTGCCGTGCGTGCGCGTGCGTGCATGTAGTACGTGCGCGTGCCCTGTGCGTGCGGTGCGTGCGTGTAAGGCCGTGTTGTTTACCTGTTACGGTTCTGCCAGCCTTCAGGGATAAAGTGCATGCGTGATGTCGCGGTGCGCGGGGCGTGCAGTGTACGGGTGTTGCGTCGCGTGCGCGTGCATGTGTATACCGTGCGTGCATGTGTACGTGCGCGTGCGTGCTGTGCGTGCCGGTTATAAGCCTGGGTTGTGTACCTTTACGGTTCGGCCAGCTTTCAGGATTGAAGTGCTATGCGGTGAGTGCGTGGCGCGCGTTGCGCTACTGTGTACGTGTTGCGTGCGTGCGTGCGTGCTGCATCGTGTATTGTGTGCGGTCATGGGCTACGTTTTGCGCGTGCGTGGCGTGGCGGCGCGTGTAGCCGTGTTGTTTACCTTTTACGGTTCGGCGCAGCCTTCAGCGATGAAGTGGGCAGCAGTGAGTTTGCGTGCGCGCGGCCCGGACATGCGTGCCGTGCGGTGGGCATGTGATATATGTGTGGCGTACATGTGTACGTGGCGCGTGCGTCGCGCCCTCGGGCTGGGCTGCCACAAGTTGAGTCGCGGTGCGGCCAGGAGCCCCCACGACTGCATATCTGAGGTGCGTGCGCGCGTGGGTGTAAACTGTGTTGTTTACCTCACAGGTTCTGCAGCCTTTTCAGGATAAGTGCCATGCGTGAGACTGCGTGCGGATCAGGCGAGTGTGGCGTGCTGTCGCGTGCGTCGCGCTCGCGTGCGTGTAACTGCTGTTGTTTACCTCACGGCTTCTGCCGCTTCAGAGATGAAGTTGGCATTGCAGTGAGGGTGCTGAGTGCGTGCGCGTGTGCGTGCGTGCGTGCGTGCGCGCGTGCGTGTAACTGTGTTGTTTACCTTCACGGTTCTGCCAGCCTTCAGGATGAAGTGAGGAGGAAAGACGAACGCCTTCTCGACGGCGTTGTCAATGACGCGCCGAACCTTCCAACCCTCGACGTTGATGTCCTGAAACAATATGACGGCCACCGTTGAATAATCAGCGCCATCTAGCGTCCCCCACATCGCTAGACACTAGTTTTTTTCTTGGTCCTTTTTTATGTCTCGAATAAGAAAACAGTAATGATTTTTAAATGTTTTTTTTATAATCTTTTACCATAAATAGTAAATATATGCAATCAACAATTGGGTTAATGATTATCGAATAATTATTAGTCAACATAATATATGTATGAATATATCTATATCTTATATCAATATTTAGGTACACATATTGGTAGGCTTAGGATTAGGTTTGTGGTTATGGTTAGGGTTAGGGTTAGGGTTAGGGTTAAGCTTAGGCTTAAGATTAGGATTAGTTTACGGTTTGGGTAAGGGTTAGGGTTAGGGTTAGGGTTAGGGTTAGGGTTTGGGCTAGGGTTAGGGTTAGGGTTAGGGTTAAGCTTAGGCTTAATTAGGGTTAGGGTTAGGGTTAGGGTTTGGGCTAGGGTTAGGGTTAGGGTTAGGGTTAAGCTTAGGCTTAAAATTAGGATTAGTTTACGGTTTGGGTTAAATCGGGTTAAAGTGGCGTGGGGATTTTACACACGCGGCTCTATAATATATCTCCATGTCCCCGAGGAACTACAGTCAACAATAACTCCATTATATAGCTGCACGATATGCCCCACAATGTTAACGTCAGTCATTCTTAAGCATTTACGAATGATCCTCTCCAAAGACTTCTATAACATAGCCCCACAATATGCCTCCCCCTGATAAAACTACAGTCTACAATAACTCCTATAATACAGCTCTAAGGAGACGCCCAGTGAAGCATGACCACGCCTCGCTGCCTTTCACCCGCGTTTCTTCTATCATTTGTATTAGATACTCAATTATTAATACAGCGAAGGCTGCACACACATAAATTATAGACAAATGAACTGCGGTCAGTGCGCGTGAGAAATCGCGCACTAGCCATTAACACGTGACCCGTAGGGGGGGGGTCTTCTCCTCGCTGCCGTGCGATCCAGGAGATCTAGGTTGATTAGGGGGCGCGGAGGTATACACGCGCGCGGTGCTGCTAGTACGTGGCGGTGATTTGGTTTTTTTTACCGGTTGTTGTTTTTCGTGCAGTTCTCGGAACCATTATTCAAATTTTGTTCTATTTTGTTTTTTTATTTTGTTTTTTAATAATTTAGGTAATTCTAAATTGCATAGATTGCGCTTGCGTAGTTTTCCAGAATTTGTTTTTACTGTGCGCCTAATACGCGAAAGATGTTTAATGAAATATTTATTCCCGCGTGAGTTCAATAAGTGTCTAACTCCATCCATCGTGTATACATTCATATCCAACTGCATTCATGACGATCGTACTATCTCCTCATTATAGTTCCTTTTCATTACTAACCCCATGTCCCTAGCTCTTAAGGGAAGGAGGGGCAGTGGCAGTGGCTAGGTCGAGTGTAGTGTAGTGACCCGAGAAGAGAAGAGAGGGAAGGAGGCAAGTTGCACTGCCCTCTCTGCATATTAGCGAAAAAGCAATTAAACGTATACTAAATGTAATTGGGTCCATATAACGTCAGCAACTAACTTAATTGTATTTGTACGTTTTCATCAAATTATGTCACCCACTGTAATACGAAAAAGCGTGGAATTCTGAAAAAAGGCAATAGGTTAGTACGTGGATATAAGTTAGTAAATTACATCACATGTGACATTACATACGCACACGTTTGCCGCACGCGCAGTACACTACATGCATGCGTGCGTGCGTGCGTGAGTGCGTGCGTGCATGCGTGCGTGCGTGCGTGCGTGCGTGCGTGCTTGCATGCGTGCGTGCATGCGTGCGTGCGTGCGTGTGCGTGCGTGCATGCGTGCGTGCATGCGTGCGTGCGTGCGTGCGTGCGTGCGTGCGTGCGTGCGTGCGTGCCTGCGTGCGTGCGTGCCTTCGTGTGTGCCTGCGTGCGTGCGAGGTGTGCGCGTGCGCGCAGCCGTGTAACGTTATCACAAACATATCTCATTAGTTTACATTACATTACCATTACATTACATACAAGTAAAATAATTATTAATATTAATATCATTATTATAGTTAATATAATCATTATAAATAATATAACCATTAGTATCATTAATTAATATAGAATTAATATAGAATATTTTCGTCGGATTATGGCCAGAAGCAGCGATGGCGATGGTAGTGGCAATGGCAGTAATAGCAGCGGCGGCGGCGGAAAGCCGCAAAGCTTCCAGGCTCCACTAACGAACAATAATCCAAGCAAGCAGAAGCAAACACGGAGCGTCACACTCACGAACCTCCTCGGCCAGAGACGACCTTGACCTCAGCTAGCAACGACCTTGACCTTGGCGAGTGATGACCTTGAACTCGGCGTGCAACGATCTTGACTTCAGTAAGCGACGACCTTGACCTCAGTAAGTGATGACATTGGCCTCGGAGTATGATGACCTTGCCCTCAGCTAGCAAAGACTTTGACCTCAGTAGGTGACGAACTTTACCTCAGTAAGTGATGACCTTGACATCAGTAAGTGATGACCTTGACCTCAGTAAGTGATGACCTTGACTTCAGCGAGCAACGACGTTGACTTTGGCAATACAATGACCTTGACAATTGCGAACGTCATTGCTGCGAGATCTCGACGCGGCAGGACCTCGATGCACGACCTTGAACTGCGACTTCCACGCGTGTCCTCGATGACGAAGGACACCGACGAGAACGACCTTGAAGCACGAGATTCCAGTGTGAACGACTTTGACGTATGACTCGTGTGTGACGCAACGACGTGTGCCCTTCGCAAATGATCTTGCACGCGACCTTGCCACCAGGGGGCGAAAGCTATTATGTGATCATCTCCAGGGGCCGAACAATGGTTTCACGGTGGGCCGCACAGGTGGTGGTTTCGCGCCGCGCGGTCGCGTGATCTTTCTCCTCTTTCTCTGAAACAAAACGTTCGCCGTAGCTTCTCCATCATCTCTGCTTTCTATTCTCTCACCTCCTCCTCCTCCTCCATCTCTTCCGCCTCCCGTCTTTTTCCTCCCCCTCTTCTTCTTCGTACTGCTTCTCCCACTCCTTGGGCAGCAGTAGCTGCTACACTATTTTGAGATAGGGATAGCAGAGGATAGTTGTGGCTGTGCACGCCTCTTCTTTCTTCTTCTTCTCCTCCTCCTCCTCCTCATCCTCGTTTCCCTCCTTCCCCCTCAACTCCTCCTCATCCTTAGGAGGAGGTGTGACTGCTTCTCTTAGACGGAGACGGGAGAACTGAGTGTGGCGACTATACGCGACTGTTTAATAAACTCAAACACCAATAAACAATCAATTGACTTAACCACCAATAGACAATCAATAAACACAACCACCAAAAGACAATCAATAAACGCAACCACCAAAAGACAATCAATAAACTCAACCACCAAAAGACAATCAATAAACGCAACCACCAATAGACAATAAATAAACTCAACCACCAATAGACAATTCAATAGACTCAACCAGCAATAGACAGTCAATAGAGTTAAGCACCTGCGACATTGCCAGTCATAGCCGAATCATTGGGGCGATAAAGCGTTCTAAAATACAATGCTTGTTAACGAAGTGTCGCAAAGTTTCATCACAACGATATAACATGAAAAACATGTAAACATGAACGTCTAGCTAGACCAACATAGTATCAGTATTAATAACAAAAGAGGGCCGTAGTTATCTTAATAGTATATTTATATATATATATATATATATATATATATATATATATA